GTAAGCCAACATTTAAACAATTCATATAAGGGTATTTAAGAACATAAATTATTTATAATGATTAATGACCAGACTTAATTTTTACTCTTTCTTGTTTCTGTAATAGAGAATAAGTTTATGCAGTCTGAAAAATGCAATACGTCCAGGTTAATGTGAAACTTACTTTTAAAACAGTAACTATGGGAGAGTTGAAGCACATGTAGCAAGTTTTATTTTACTATGCATACAATTATTTATATTGCCGACTTTAGATAAGCCAACTGAAAATTGCTGAAAACGAAAAGTATAAAAGGGGGTTTAAAGGTCATGAACAGCTATTATAATAATAACAACCATCTCTGATCAAGATAGGAAAAGATCTGACGGTTGGGTTTTTTGTACATAAATTTCAAATCTCGCGAGAAACAAGCCATAAAAATAAAATGCCAAATCCTAATTACTTAAGAAAATTTTAGGAGATTAAAACGGATGCCTGCGAAGAAGTGGAAACGCTTAAGGAATAAGTTACGGTGGAGAATTAAAGTCGTTTGAGTTGCTACTTAATTACAATTTTAGATGCGTGATTTCGAATGATTTACGAACTTTGAGGAATAGGTTAATATGAGGAATACACGGGAAATCCTCCGATGAAGGAAACTTCCAGATTTTTGTCCAGAGGTTCCTGTTTGCTTGTCCAATTAGCGCGTAAACCTCCGCACACTAAAGTCAACAAAAGAACGACTTTGAAATACAAGACGTAATTCCTTTAAAAGGTATATTTAAGACAAAATCTAAATAAAAGATCGTTACTTGAAAGCCCACAGTTGATTTCGGAAAAGGATTACAGGCGAGATCAATCTTGAAAGAGTCGACATGTGGCCGAAGAAGGCAGAGGAATTTTATCTTTCCATTCCCACCAAAGAAACATTTGTTATTAATTTTTAAAATATCTGGTCCAATTTTAAACTTTTTTGTATAAAATTGATCAAATTTCTAAAAGTAAATGTTAAAAAAAGGGGATCGGTCGTCTTTGATAAGGCTGGTCCGTTTTTCTTCGCTCTGTTTCGTACGAGCCAGATTTGACAAAACTTCACAAATAACAAACTATTTATAAACTGTGATATTTTATAATATTTTTACAAAAATCGATATTGGGCATGAAAATTTTTTGTTTGGTTTTAATATCGCAGGTCAGATAAATCTCCATTTCTCCCCAGTGTTACTATTTTCAAAGGACAAACTACTTTCTACAAATGTGATATTGTATCAGAATAAAGTTCAGGTAATGAAATCGATGCGGTTTTTTTCGACCAGGTTACATAATCAGTGAAATGAAATGACGGTCAGTCATTTTCTACAAATCCATCGACTAGGATTTTGTCAAAGGCCTGGGGCATGGACAGGTCCTCCTCGGTGGTCCAGAACTCCATAACTATCTGGGAAATAAATACGCCCCCGTAGGCGATTCATTTCATATTCTATTCTTCCAGGCTAAACCTTGTTGTTACCAATGTAACAACGCTTGTTTTAGAACTCGTACGATAATTCTCAAAGTTACGGTTGTGGTGAAATCTTATCCATATGACCTGAAAAATCGTGCACGGTTCGATTGTTTGATGAAAAACACACGCAACGGTTCGACGGCCGATTCAAAACATAAAAGAAATCACTCAATTTATTTTTTCTATCTATTTTACAATAGTAGAATAATATAAGTAGCGTAAGTTGCTATTATTTAATAAAACATGATTTATGTCTTGCCTGTTTCTATGATTTTGTAAGCGTAATAATTTTTTGGAAGTAAATTGGTTCACTCTCCCTCACATTCGATTTCTTTGTTTCTCTCTCTCTCTCTCTCTCTCTCTCTCTATGTATATATATATACATATATATATTCCACAATCTAAATACTGCCCCGACATATTCATTTATGTATCGTACCTTCTACTATATGCAAAATAATTAGTTAATAATTACTCTAAGATGATGAAATAATACTTTATGCTACAATTGTGATGAGGCACTTGTTCAGGGTGTCAAAATGAACGGGATCCTATGGTTACATCGTGGTCTGATAGAAAAAGTACTTATTTGTTTTGTGTTGTTTTGAGTTTATTTGTAGCCTAATTTTATATATCATATTTTCGTGTATTGCCTTTATTATTGCCTAGTATTTTATAAGTTTTTTTTAATGTGTGGGGTTTGGTGACCGTTAGTCAATGATTATTCTGAGATCGTGAGATGCGGTCTGGTGTGACGTAGGTTTTAGAAAAACATTTTCTTTTTCGTGCTAACGTTTCGATCTTTATTGAGATCGTCTTCAGAGCCTGAGATTTATAAATATTGTTTAAATTTTACAAATACATGTAGAATGTAAAAAAATTAATTTATGCAACGCTAGAAATTTTAGATAAAAATAAATAAAGAAAACAAATTTATACAATGCTAGAAAATTTTTAGAGAAAAAAATTTTTATACAATGTTAGAAAATTTTAGATTAAAAAAATGAATTTATACAATGCTAGAAAATTTTAGATTAAAATAATGAATTTATATAATACTAGAAAATTTTAGATTGAATCAAAGTATTTGTACACTTTGAGTGAGTACAAATACTTTGATTGAATCTAAAAATGACTAGCATTGTATAAATTCACTTTTTTTAATCTCAAATTTTCTAGCATGGTATAAATTCATTTTTTTAATCTAAAAATTTTCTATCATTGTATAAATTCATTTTATTTATTTTTATTTTTGTAATCTAAAATTTCTAGCGTTGTATAAATTCATTTTTTTATCCCAAATTTTCTAGCATTGTATAAATTCATTTTTTTAACCTAAAAATGTTCTATCATTGTATAAATTCATTTTATTTATTTTTATGTTTTTAATCTAAAATTTCTAGCGTTGTATAAATTCATTTTTTCATCTCAAATTTGCTAGCATTGTATAAATTCATTTTTTTAACCTAAAAATTTTCTATCATTGTATAAATTCATTTTATTTATTTTTATGTTTTTAATCTAAAATTTCCAGCGTTGTATAAATTCATTTTTTCACATCCTACATGTATTTGTAAAATTTAAACAATGCTTAAAAATCCCAGGCCCTGAAGATGATCTCAATAAAGATCGAAACGTTGGCACGATAAAGAAAATGTTTTATTGAAGGATGTCAAGAAATCTGCTATTACAATTGTTATGTTTATGTTGAAGGTGTTAAGCAGACATCGATTAGTAGAAACTATCTGATCGATGTGAAAAAAAATAATTAGAGAGAAGAGAACTAATTGAACATTCATAAAACAAACATATATTTGTTCATTTGCATATAATGGAGGTTGTGAGGTCATAAAACCAGAATATTCCAAGGGCAAAATAAAGATTCGTATTTAATGTGATCCAACAAATAACGAATTGATTCAGGACAGACTTGGTTCTGGAAAAATTAGTGGGCAAGCTACAATTTAATGAATATTTGTGGCTTTCTATGGAATCGGTTAATCTGTATTTTGTCTGTATAAACTAGGAAGTGACATACGAATTTACGCATAATCCTTCATGAAAAACGAATTAGAAGCGTTAAGTCGGAATAAAAAAGCGTGGCCGTGTCAAAGCTTCGTACACCCCCTGTCGTACACGTACTTGTTTTTTAAGTCCGGGGGTGACTAGTTGTAAACAGGATCGAATAAACATCCGTGCAGCAGATGGGTTAACTGGTTCCATATGTTTTACAGATTGACGTAACTGTGCTTTCTAACACTTTTTATCTCCGGCCCGTAATCACCGGGTTTTGACTAGACAAAGAGGAAATTTTTTGAAAGATCGCCGCCAAATTAACAGTGATTTTTGACCGCCGGGACCTTGAATGCAGGTTAGCACGCGATCACTTTTGCGCCCCATTGTTTTAAACACGGTTTATTGACAGGTTTGGCAGGGAAACGACCTACTTAATTCCGAAGTTAATCTGTCTTTTCCTTATCGCCTTAAACAAGTTTGATCTCACATCAGAAACTCCGACGGGGCTATTAAGATAAAACGTTTAAAAATTACGGACACCACTCAGACAGCCAAATAAGAGAACGAAACTAATTTTACATTGAAAAAAATCCTAATTATTTTAAAATATACCTTGTCGAAAACGCAAACTGACCGCGATAAATTCTTCCATTCTCCCAAACATCTACGGTTCAATCAATTAATTTATTTGATATATTCTAACAATAACGAATTGCAATAGTACTCATATCGGATGTTAAAACTTGATTTTATGAAAAAACACGACATTTTTGTAAACAATAATTGTGGTTTGATGAGTGTTACATATTATTTATTTTTTTATTTTTTTTTGCCTTATGATCTATGCATATTAACCATGTTGACGAATTCTTGTATGTGTGTTCATATTTGGGGGGGTGGGGTTATCGTGAAAAAAGGGCCCAGAGGCGACGGTGGGAATCGAACCCACGACCGCGGCCTCTATGAGCCGAGAGTGTCTCGCGCTAACCACTCGGCTACCGCGGTCCCCCGAAGTGTTACATAGTTTTTGTAAATAATTATTTCATGTAAAACCTTTTACTGTGTTTTACGAATACAGGGACACTAAGATTCGAACCCGGGACCTTTACAGTGATGAGTGTCAACGCCGTAAGGAGCAGATTTCACGCAATGTGATTGAGTTCTCATATCGGATGGCATTCCTACGCTCTTTCTAGATGGAGCGAAGGAATACAACGAATAATTTAGTTGAAACTTCTCAGTTTGTTTTTTGCCTTTGATTGTATTTTATTTCAAATTTTATAGTTTAATTAATCTTACTAGCCTGAGATAGTTTTGCATCTGGATTCGCCCAAGTTTATTGTGTATTATAAACTGCTCAAAAATGAATAGGGATATTGCCAATTTTGTAGTATTTACTTTCCCTAGAATTTTTATTATAAATTGTATTAAAATTTGTTAGAAATTATGTTTTCTACTGAAGGAAAATTTAATTAAGTATTTTTGAAAAATAACAAAATAAAA